GTCTGCTTTTTTTGATTAGTGAATTGAGGCCATTTATGTTGATAGTTATAACTGATATATATTGGCTTAACTTTGTCATGCTTTTTTCCTACTGTAGGAGCCCTACTTTTTCTTTTGCTTAATTGCTTGCTCTACTTTGTTATTCTCTTCTGTTGTTGTTGAAGTTGTGGTCATCTTTGTCACTTTCTAAATTACCTGTTAGTACTCTTTGTAGAGTTGCTTTGGTTGCTATGCATTTCTTCAGTTGTTCTTTCTCGTGGAAGTATCTAATTGCTCCATTAAATCTGGTAGATAGTTTTGCAGGACATATCAGTCTGGGTTGAAAGTTGTTTTCTTTTAGGTCCTCAAATATCTTACTCCAAGCTCTTCTGAATTTGATCGTCTGTGTTGAGAAATATGCCATGATTGTGTTGGGCTTTCCATTATAGGTGATCTGTTTTTTTTCTCTTTAACAGCTTTTAATACTTTGTTCTTTAGCTCAGTTTCTGGGATCTTGAGTATTATGTGTCTGGGTGATGATATATTTTGATTATGGCTACCTGGAGTTCTACGTGTTTCAGTTATCTGTATATCTGATTCTTTTCCCATGCTCAGGAAATTTTCTGCTACTATTTTTGCAAATACTCTTTTTATGTCTTTTGTGATCTCCAGCTGTTTTATTGATACCTGTTAGTCATATATCTTTTTTTTTTTTTGCATCATCGTGCAGCTGTTGTAGTGTTATTTCCTGGTTTCCCATTATTTTTAAGAGATGTTTCCTTTTGTGTTCACTAACTACAGTGCTATCTTCAAGGTCTGAAATTCTATCTTCTGTTTCATTCAAGTGGTTTTGCCATCTTTCTGCGGAATTCTTAATGTCTTGGATATAAGTTTGAGTCTGTTTCATGCATTTTAGTGCTTTCCTATATTGTTCATTCAATGTTTCCATTATTTTATATTTCCTTCTATTTATTTTTTTAATCTGTGACTTCCTTAGATATATTGAGCAATTCTTTCATAATTGTTATTTTTCTTTCTTTCTTTTTTTAACCTGAGAGACTGTTTCTGATCTGATTTCCTCCATAGCCTGATGGAGTTGTTTCTTTACTTCAGTTGCTATCACCTTAGAAATTTCAGGTATGTGACATCCAAGTTCTTTTATTTTTTTATTTTCTTTTATTTTTTTGTGGTGGAAATAGGGATTGAACTCAGGCCCTTGTGCTTGCTAGGCAAGTGCTTATTCTACTGAGCTATCTCCCCGGCCCTCAAGTTCTTTTATGAACTTGTCCCTTGAATTTGTTTTGGGTGGGCTAGGGGTCTGAGATTGACTTTTTTTTTTTAAATTTTATTTATTTGTGTGTGTGTGTGTGTGTGTGTGTGTGTGGCCAGCTCAGCCCACCAGGGGGCGGGACTGGCTGGCATGTGGTGCTGGGGGATTGAACCGCAGTCCCTGTGCTTTGCTAAGCTTGTTCTAAGTAGGTGCTTTAGACCACTGAGCCATCTCACCAGCCCCTGAGATTGACTTTTGTTCCCTCTTTTTCTCAGTTTTTACAGTGATGGTAGATGGGCAAAGTGCAGGTGAGCAAGGCTCTCCAGATAATGGGAGCGCAGGGGGGGTTGCCAAACCTCCTGCTGTGTGGGGTTCAGTGTGGTTTCTGTCTCATTAAGGAGAGGGAGGCAAGCATATTTGGAGAAGGATCCAATGAGGGGGAGTGCAGGCGAAGTTGTGCAAGGCTCTCAATCATGGATTGGCACAGGGTGGTGCTCAGCAAAGCTCCTGCGGGTCACTGTGGCAATCAGGACTCCCTCTTGGTCTTCAGGGCAAGGAGGGGTAACCGACTCAGCAAATTCTGGCAAGAAGTCTGGGTGGGGACCAGGGCTAGGGCTGCTGAGTCTCTCTGACAGTCTTCAGGGCAGGAGGGGTGGGGGTAGAGTGAGTGGCTGGAATCAGCAAACTCTGGTGAGGGGCGGGGACTAGCCTACCAGGTCTCTGGCAGTCTTCAGAGAAAGTCAGATTAATATTTTTTGAAAACCCTGGAAACAGTGAGTTCATGAAAGTCAAACAGAAATAATGAGGGACTAATGTATTTAACTTGTGTTGAGTACCAAAACAGTAGTTTGACAATCCTGAAGCTACCTGAGACTTTTTCTCATGTTAGTAAGCTTTGCTTGCCATGTGAAGACAATCACAGATTTATCTTTCCTTCCATGCAATTGAACGCCTCATCCCTTTGATCAGATTTTCTTGATCTATTGGCCAGTTCTTGTTCTCTCAGCATAACTGAGAGATTGTGGTGTTGGGAAAACAAACCATGTTTTTATTCTGTTTCATCCATTATTTATAAAATTGCTTGGCAAGTTCTGACTCAAGAATCACTTATTATGGAAATAGGGAAAAGTTTCATTTTTTGTTGTTCCAGATATAAATAGACAAAGTTTATGGTATTGACACTATCTGTTGCACCTTCAAACTTCTGATGAGCCAAAAAGCAGGTAGGGATTTGCATAATCATGCTAACCCTTAGTGGCTTCTTGCTATGATAATAGAGAGAGAAAAGCTCCCCCTGATGCTAGAGAGTACAGAGGGGCTGGGCTGGGGTTCCTTAGTATTTGATCTTCCTGTAGAACAGCCTAGCTCTGATGACATAGTGACGTTTTCCTCTTCTGATTACTTTTGGTTTGATGTCCATTTTGTTTGAAAATAGGATAGTGATTCCTGCTTTCTTTTGGACGCCTGTTGCTTGGAATTATTGGTTTCCATCCTTTGGTTTTTAGTTTATGAATGTCTTTTTCAAATTGATTTATATTGACAGTTATTACTAATAAGTGTTGACCTATTTCATTTAAAATTTAGTGTTTTAAATTTTGCTGACTTTTGTTTTTCCCTTTTGCTTAACTGATAACCCTGATTTATGTTTTCATTCCATTATATGTTTTGTTGTTGTTGACTTCATTATCTAGGATATTCTTGAAAGTTTTTTTGGTGTGCTGGTTTAATACTCATGGATTTCTTTTTTTTTTTTTTTTTTTTTTTTTTTTTTTTTTTGGCAGAACTGGGCATTGAACTCAGGCCCTTGCACTTGCCAGAGAAGTGCTTATTCCACTGAACCATCTCCCCAGCCCCAATCATGGATTTCTTAAGGCACTCTTTGGCATGGAAAAATCCTCATTTCTTCACCAAATTTGAAAGTTAGTTTTGTGAAATATATTAGTCTGGGTTGAAAGATTCTTTTTAGTCTGTGTGAAACACTTCAGGCTTTCATGACCTCAAGATCTGTGTTGAAAAGTCTGCTCTAATGGTTTACCTTTCTTTATAAGTGATTTGTTGCTTTTCTGTAACAGTGTTAGACTTTGTACTTGTATTGAACATCTGAGATTTTCACTGTGATGTTTCATGGAGAAGTTCTTTTCTGATTGTACCTTTTGGGAGTCTATATACCTTGCTTATCTGTGTGTTGAATGCTTTCCCCATACTTGGAAATTTTTTATTGCTTCTGTGAGCAAACTTTTTAAACATGCCATGCCATGCAAACTTTTCTTCCAGTTGATCTTATGTTAGACTTTTTAGAGTCAGCTAGCAGCCATTGGGTCCCTCCACCGCCATCACTTGTTTTGAGGCTTCTCTGGTCTGTGGCCACCTGTATCAGTTCTATCTTATTGTTCTGCTGTTATCTCCTCACATTGATCACTTTTGCTGCCTGTACTGTATGTAGAAATTTTTATGTCTTGAATTTCTGTTTGGTACCTTTTCACAGACTCTAGTTCTTTGCTAAATTGGTTGTTTATGTTTTGAATCATTTTGCTTGGCTCAACTACCTTTTTATTTATGTCTTCTGTAAGGTCGCTGCTCATTTTGTTTACTAAAGCCATTATCTGTTTAATTATATTATCTTTGAGCTTCTAGAACACTTTATTGATCTACTTTGCCTCTTATCCAAAATCAATTTATGTAATTCATCCATTTGTTTTTGTATTTACTTGCCATCAGTTCCTATTGTGTCTGCTTTGGAGGAGCTGGGGTTTTTGGAGGGTTTCGTTATCTAGTTTTCTGGTGTTTCTTTTATTTTGTGCTGAGGGTTGAGAATCAGTCAGAGTTAAAAGACTTCATTGCTAGTATGGAGATGTCTTTACTTAGTGAGTGCTTTTCAGTGATGAGATGTTGGCTTTGTTTTGGTACTTATTGACCTCTTCAGTTTAGTTGGCTCAGACCTGGAAGCTGTGTTGCAAGGAGAGAATCCCTGCCAATTATATCAGCAGCAGCAGATCCAACTGTACATCAGTCATGTGCATCACGTACATTAAAACATTTTAAATGAATTTCACTACTTCATCAGTGCTCTGTATAGACTGGACTACTACTATCAGGCAGACTGGGATAGAGCAGAAGGAGGGAAGGAAGAAGGAAGAGCAAAGGGAAGGGGTAAGTCAGTAGGAAGAAAAAGAGGAAAGAGAAACAGCAGATGAACAACAGACAGGAGATTGGACTTTGTTGAAATTATTTTTATAGCTGGAACAAAGGACTGGTGTTGAGGGTGTTTGAAGGAATATTTGTGGGAGCAGGAAAAAATGTACATAGTGAGAGGGAAGTATAACTGGGGGTTGGGGAGACTGAGATTGTGATAAGATTTTTTTTATTGTAAAGAGACAGGAAATATCCTCTTTTTTTAACCAGGGATTGAACTCAGGCCCTTGCACTTGCCAGGGAAGCGCTTATTCCACTGAGCCATCTCCCTGGCCACAGGAAATATGCTCTTAAGGACCTTATAAACATTTTTGTCTTATAACTTATTAAAAGAAGAAACAAAGTGAGTTAAGTAATATAAAACTTCAAACCATCTCATCAGTGAAAAATTTTGAATCCTGCCTCATCAATTCGAATTTTTGAATTTTGAATAGTTTATGCTATGAGCTTAAGTCTCACGAATAGCTTTCCCACCTCAGAGGTCTGGAAGCATTTGCTCTCATGTGGCATATTTGTAGAGTATAATTTAAGAGTACTAATGAACCATTGTATTCTGCAGGACCAATTTGACTATAAGCTGTGATGTTTACATAGAGACGCCTGAGAAGGGAGGTGTATTCATCGCAGGAAGAGTAAATAAAGGTGGTCTTTTGGTTAGAATTGCACAAGGCGTTTTCTTCTGGATTTTTACTAATGGATTGTACAGAGTTACAGGTGACCTAGGTAAGTGCCTTTTTTTTTTTTTTTTTTTTTAATGACACAGGACTTACTTGGAGGTGTTACTCTGAGCACCTGTTTATTACTGGTGGAAGCCACAAATGAGTTCCACGCCCAGGTGCTTATACATCTACTTGGGAAGAGATTTAACGCATGCAAGAAAATACTAAACAACTCAAAATCATACTGATTTTATGTTTTTGGAGATGGGCAGCTCAGTGAATGAAATGTGGCCATGCGAAGTATTCAGGTGTTGTTGGGTGTTCATGGGATTTGAGCGAGCTGATGAGCAAGTGCTGAGCAAACACTGACAATAGAAGCAAGGCTGTAAGGGAATTGCTACTGTGCTTGTGGGAATATGGGGAAGGGACTTATAGGCCTAAAATGGAGAAAGCCTTCTTTTTAATTTACTTAATACATGGAAAGCATTGGACTCTTCTCTGTCACCTTGATAGCGTCTGTCCTGGTAGAACAGCACTTACTGTATAGCACTTAGAGTGTATTGAAATTTAACTGGGTTTAGTGCCCAACACTTTGTTGAAACTAGTCTTCATTGGAGATAGCTCTTCTTGATGTCTTTTTACTTCACCCTGCATTAATTTAAAAACTTTCCCCTTTGTATGGTTCTCTGTTATGCCTTGGCTCTAAAATAAAAGATAGTGGCACCATGGTTCACAGATGCTTTGTTTGCAAACTGGCTCTCAAACAGGAGCATGTAGCCAAATTTTGCTTTTGTTTGTAAACTCTGCGTCTGGTGACAGACAGGACTGGGCCATGTTTCCCACACAAATACAATGTGGCTGTCTGTTCCCAAATTGTAGAACAAATTAAGTTCATGAACCCAGGTACCACTGTATCCAATGACTATGCATATCAGAGCAGGAATTGTGTAATTGTAGCATGACCCATCCAGAATGCATCTCTTTAATTTTCCAAAACAAAACAAAGAGCCAGACAGGTTAATTGATTTATCCAGTCTTAAAAACTAGTTAGTGGCGGGAATTAGAAGTAGGATTTAAACCCCACTGCTCTGTGTCTCAATTTGCTAGCTTGACATCTCTTCCTGGCTCTTGTTCAGGTATTTAAATATGGCAGATCTAAAAATTTAGCCTTTATTTTCTCTGTCTAATTCCAATTTAACACTATTACCGTGTTAGTAATTATTCTGCCAGCTGGAAATCGTACAGAAATCTTGAACTACTCTTTCTTACTGTTTGTGTCCAGTCCATGCAAGTATTAAGTGTGCTCTGAAGTACAGGCACCAACTCATTTTATTATGGCTAGTTTTTAGCTTTATCTCACTCACTAGTTCTGTTGTGAACTCATATAGTTCATGGCTCAGAATGGGAGCTCAATAGATGCTACGTAAATGCTTAGGGAATGTATGATGGAATGGAGATGTTTTGTTTTAAATCAGTTTTAGAGTTGAAAATGAAGGGGTAGTTCTTTATTAAGGCTGACTTTATTATATCAAATGCCAATAAGACTTGCTACTAATACAATTCTTTTTTTAAAATTAATTTATTTATTTATGTGTGTGTGTGTGTGTGTGTGTGTGGCCAGCTCAGCCCACCAGGGGGCGAGGCTGGCTGGCATGTGGTGCTGGGGTTTGAACCATGGTCCCTGTGCTTTGCTAAGCTTGTTCTAAGTAGGTGCTTTAGACCACTGAGCCATCTCACCAGCCCTACTGATACAATTCTGTGATGTAGATTTAAACAAGTATCCATTGGGACAATCTTTCTGTGTTGCAGCTGGATGGATCGTATATTCTTCAGGATATGTTGAAGTAAAAGCAAAACAATGGTACACACTTACATTAACAATTAAGGTAAGTGTTGCTCATCCGATGGTACACCTGGAAGCACAGGGTTTTAGCAGTTGGTTTCCCTGACTAATGCTGTTAGAGAAGATTCCAGAATAATCATGTAAGGGCAGTCTCACAGTGGCCGTCCATGTCTCTGGTGGATTCTGGGTTACCAACTGAAGGGCACTACATGGAGAACTTCTGCAATTTTCTGCTCTTTCCCAGAGTGTCCTCTTGTAATCTTGTTAGGATTGTGATAGAAATTAACACGAAATTCAAGTGACTTTTAAGTCTGTTTGCTCTTCCTACACAAGGGCCCAGAATAACAATACCCAGATTTTTTCAAGCATTGACAGTATGTTTTGCAGATCTGATTGGGAGATATTGTGGTTAACAGTCCTCCAGCTGATGTTCCCAATTGTTCCCTTTATGGGGGATCCTGACTTGCTTCTTGGGGGGCACATGTGATACTGCTTTTTAGGTAGATATAGAAGTGGAATTGCATTTTAAATTTTAACAGGTACTACCATATTGTATTGCTATTGTCAAATATTTTATTTTTTAAATTTTAAAAATTATTTTTATGTTTTGTGTTTTCCATTTCATTAAGGAAGTGAGGGGAGGGGATCTGAGTTGGACCCGACAAGGGGAAGAACAACCCGAGCAGACCTCTCAGCTCATGCAGAAGTGAGCAGGGCCGGACTCATGTAGGGAGAAGTGAGGAGGCTGGGGGCTGCGGCCGGGGGCAGAGAGCGCAGTGGCAGGGGAAGACACTGTCAGGCAGGCCGTGTGCTTTCCGCACCTTGTGTGTGTCGGTCCCAGGATTCATTGTGAGTGGTTCCTCTTCTGTCAGTGCAGAGGATGTGCAGGAAGCATGTGCAGAGCCCAAGACAGGTGTGCAGGCACATAGTGATGGTAACATGATTCTGTATTTGAAATTAGGAAACTTAGATTGAAGTCTCAGCTCCGCTGGTATATGCATCTGTGACTGTTGAGCTGTCATCTCGGTAAAACTCAAGTATCTCTGCTCGTAAAATAGAAGAACCAAATTAAGGTCCATTGCATTATCATTTTAAGACAGTGTGTTTTGGTTTGGTTTGGTATGCCTTAGTACTTTGACTCTCTAGCTATTAACCTTTTAAAAATAAAGAGTGTTCAGTGCTTAGCTGGAGTTGGTGTGCTGTAGAGTACGCTCTTGGTGTGCTGCGGTCATGATGTGCCACTCACTGTGCCAGGGACTCAGTTAAGGAGAATGGTGGCCTTTTGTGGAAGATGTGCTTTGTTCCTCCTTTGCCAGCGACCAGTTAGCCACTCCTCTGGATGCTCCCCCTTTCCCACACCTCCCTCCCCTGCTCCGTCATCATTATATCTGACAGTTATGATGTCTGTAATTGAAGGCTAGGAGTTCCATATGACCTGGTATAAATGGCGACAGAAAAAGTAAACTAAGGCTCGTCACTTCTCTTTTGGCTACTCAAGGAGTTGTTATTGCAGATCTTAAGTAGTGAACAAGGGTCCAGTGTTTGGCTTTAAAATAGTCATATCTGAAGAGTGGATTATTAGCCATGATGCCTGTATATGCAACTAAAAATAGCCAATGTTTTTCTTTTTAAAATTTCAGTGAGCTTTTGTCTAAAACTGTATAATAATGTTAGAAAACAGATTGTGTTTTTATCAGTTATACATTTTGCTGGAGCAGAAGGAAATATTGGAGTGTTCTTTACACTCAGACCTATTTAAACAAGTGGCTCCTACTAGATCTCCCAGAAAAATTTTCTTCTATTTCAAACTTTTGCTTAAACTCACAGGATTTTGTTTCAAGCAATAAGTCTTGAGTGAGAAAAACATTTATTTTATTACCGCTTGTATACCATGCATTGTTAAGAAATGGATTTCAGAGGATCATTTTTATGTGTTTTCAAGAGATGTCTTTCTCTCTCCTCTAGGGTAATTTGGCCTCTGGCAAGTTGAATGGCAAGGTTCTGTGGCATAACATCCATGTGAAATTCCCGAGGAACGGCTGGGCTGCAATTGGAACTCGCTCCTTCGAATTCGCGCAGTTCGACAACTTTCATGTGGAAGTCACACACTGAAACCACGTGCTGTCCGACACTCTTGAGTTCTTCCTTTTGGACTTGGTGTAGGGCCAGTTCTTGTGCTGACAGATTGCCTTGCTAGGCTGAAAACAAGGAAGAGTACATAGGAAGACAGTTATATTTTTACTTGATCCTGAGAAAGATTTTACTAGATAATTCCAAAGGAATGTGAATTGTTAACATTTTCTAATGTGTTTCTTAAAAGTCACTCTTCGCTGGTCCTGTGTTCAGGAGTGGTTCAGGTCTGGAAGCCATCTTGTAAATACTAGGTGGATCTCTTCGTTCTTTACCAAATGATTATGCAGGTGGCCAAGGCTGCCCTCACTGAGATGTACTGGTGAGCGTTGTCCTTGTGTCCAAATGATGTCCTCATAGTAGGATGCTGCTGCCACAGAGGGATCTGAAGAACATGAAGTACTGCTTCTTGGAAACCATGTCAGTGTGCTCTACTTACCTCTAACAAGTGTCCTTTTTTTAACTTTAAGATGATGATTTTGAATGATGAATAGAATGATTTGAAAAATGCCTCTTCATTAAGCTACCTCTGTTATTTCTGCAACAATAAATTATGGCAAATTACTTGGGTTGTTTTCATTCTTTAATTCATTTGATTCCAACTTTTAGCTTTGTAACACTTGCAGCTCTCTGTGAATATTTTCCCTGGTAGCTGGGAGAATGAAGAACTTTCACTGTAGCCAGTACCATCACAGTTGTAGTGGGTCTGATTTCACTGAGAATTTGGTGGTCTGTCCTCACGTCTTACAACAAACAGCTAATGAATGTGTTTATCTCCTCAGGTTGGGAAGGAGGGGCACATTTGACTTTTACCTGCTAATGTCTTATATGGTTAAGATGCATTTGTAAAGCCCCAGTGTATTATTTACATATGAACATGTTTCTCATTACTGTGATTTTATATCTAAGCATTGTAGATCTTAGGAGGAAAGCAATTATTCTTATGATTAATTATAGAATTCTTTAAAAATAATTACTCAGCAAACTAGTTTTAGTTCTTAGAAATTTGTAATGCTATAGCATAGGTGAAGCTATAATGAACTTTTGCATTGCTTTTATTTAGCTATTATTTTTTTGTATTTTAAGGAAGGGTTTACAGGGTGTTCAGGGTCTCACTACTAGATCAGACTCATAGTAATCCACCTGTTTACAGCTTCCCAAGAGCTGGGATTACAGGCACATGCCACCACGCCCAGTCTCAATTACCATCTCAGCGCACCCCCGGGGCGGGGCTGGCAGGGCAGGCCCGGGGATCGAACCCTCAGCCCCTGTGCCTGCTTGCAGGCACTTTAATCTGCTGAGCTATTTGGCCAGCCTTTGTATTGCTTTTAAAGATGAGAAATTAATCACTAGAATAAATCATAGACAAAATTTTTCAAACTAAGGCCAAGTGAGTTTTTATTCAGATCTCTATTGTTTAAAAGTAGCATTTATATAAGTTATTTATCATAGAATGTTCTCAAGTGTACAATTCAGTGAGTTTTGATAAATGGATATGCCCACATGGCAAATATGGAACGTGTCCATCCCTCCAGAAAGTTCTTCTGTATAGTTGTGTGACCAGCTATTTCGTTCCCAAGTTAGACAACCTTTGCTGTGGTTCCCATCATTGTCAGCTTTCTTTTTTCCAAGCATAAAAGTGGCGTCAGATACAGCATATGTGAATTTCTTTCACTCAGCACACTGCTTTTGAGATTTGTCATGTTGTGTATGTAGGTGGCTTGCTTTATTATTTTGGAAGATATTCCATTGATTGCATTTAATTCAGTTTGATTTTTCTTCTCTCAGTTTCTGGTGATATATATATATATATATATATATATATATATATATATAACTTCTATCAACATTTTCACACAAATCTTAAGTCAACATATATTTTTATTTTTTGTCCTAATGCTGAGGAGAAAACATGTTGGATCTTATGTTAATTTTATTTAAAAAAGTCACCCAACTGCTTCAGAAACTGACTATATGCTTTTATCATTCCATCAGCATTTGAGCACTCATTACTCCATATTTTCTTCAATGCTTTGTTATCATTCATTCTTTATTTTATTATTATTTTATTTCATTTTTTGGTGCAGGATCTCACTATGCAGCTTACACTCATAGTGATGCTCCTGTCTCAGCCTCCCCAGAGCTGGGACTGCAGGTGTGCCCATCACGCCCAAACTTGGTGGCCGGCACAGCATGTGTGCTGGAGATTGAACCCGGGTCCTTGTGCTTGCCAGGTAGGAACTTAGACCACTGAGCTATCTCCCCAGCCCCCAGATGAAAATTTTTATACCAAAGTTTTACAAATTATTTTCTTTATTTTTGCAAAGAGCTTGTTGAATTTTGCTTCCTATGTGCATCTAAATACAGGTCAGCGTGGGGAGAACGGATACCTCACTAGTGTGGGCTTTCCTGTCAATCTATAATTCCAATAATTGTCTGAATACAAGTCTCGGACTTATTTTATTAAATTTATCCTTAAATATTTTGTATTTTTGATGCTATTATAAATTGTTTTCTGGCAGAGGAGATGGCTCAGGAGCCTAAGTGCCTGCCTGGGAAGTGCAAAGACCCAGGTTCAGTCTGTGGTACTGCATGCCGTGCTGGCCCTGAAACCGGGCATGGTGGTGCACGACTGTAACCCCAGCACTGGGGAGGCTGAGACAGGAGCATCACTATAAGCTCAGTTGTGTAATAAGACCTTGTACCAAAGAAATAAATAAAAAGATTAAAAAAATTGTTTTTCTTCCATTTTAAGTTGTTTGCTCATATGTAGAAATACAGTCAGTTTTTGTAATTGGCCTGCAATCCTTCTGCCTTATAAAATTGACTTTTCTATCATTTTTTTCTTTTAAAACTGTAGGATCTTCTGTGTATACATTATTGTCATCTATGAGTGCAGATAATTTTACTTTTAGTATATCTGCTAAAATTTTTAACTTCTGAGGTTGTTATTTGACTGCCTGGTATTCATAGGTACAGTGTATATCAAGAAATATCAAGGCTATACATCTATGCTTAATTCTTGATCTTGGCTGTAAGAACATTGGAGCGTGGTGGTTTTGGAGACTATCTGATTTTGCAGTAATTTAACAGATGTTGTTATGTTCTCTGTTTGTAGAATTCAAAAAATAGTTGTTGGCATAGAAGGGTAGAGGAGCCTATTCCCCTGGCTCCAAAGGCAGAGAGAATGGCTGTGTCTTTAAGGACTGGAATGTGTACAAAAGAAAAACTGGGATATTATCTGCAATAGGAGGAACATTATCAGAGATGAGGAAATATGAAGTAGTAAAGGTCTGCCGTAACTAAATTCAAAAGGACAAGGAAAGTGGGTGCCCTGGGAAGTGCCCTGAGTCAAGTTAGGGCTAAGGGAAGGAGCTGAGTCCAAGGCAGGTGTAGCTCCAGGATAAGTTTGGTGAGACAGGCTTTTAAAAGCCCATTTGTCTCTTCCACTTTACCTGAGGACTCTAGGTTCTACGGTGTGTGTAAATGCCAAGTAACACTAAGCTTTGAGGCCATGTGTTGAGTGACTTGGGAGATAAATACTAGATCATTATCTGACTGAATGGTCTGGGACAGTCCAAATCTGGGAATAATGCCTTGTATGAGAAGCTTAGACACTATTTGATTTCTCTAGTGGAGGTAAATGCCGCTATCCATCCTAAGAAAGTACACACAAAAGTAAGGAGATATTTATAGGTCTTATGATGATGCATGTGTGTGAAATCTACCTGCCAGTCTTCACCTGGAGTGTGTCCTTGAAGTTGGTGGGTGGGGAAAGAAGAAGGAGGCAAATGTTCATGTGGGGAAGTTTTGGCACAGGATGACAACCTTGGGTGACTTGAAGAATAATGGTCTTTAGAGAGGGGTGGGTGGTGATTGGAATCAGTTTATATAGAATCTGAGTACCTACATGAAAACAGTTGTGTATGTTGGTGACGATGGTTAAGGCCTGTAGATCTGGAAGAAGTTTCGAACCCTGGAAAATCCATCTCTGGGTGTTTGGGCTATAGTTTGGCTCATAGAGTTGTTGGAGTTGTTTTGATGAGTATCAGGATAGAAGTAAAATGTCTGGGATAAAGGGAAGAAGATGAGAGGGATATGGTCAATGTGTAGCTAATATAACTTGTGTGTTAGCATTGCCATAAGAAATATGGTCTGGTGATGCTGATGTCCTCTATAGTGAATAGCTGCTACCTGTTTGGGAGTTGTGCTACCTCTAAAAGCTTAAGGATGAGGGATGCATTGGCAATAGGAGTCCCCTGAATGCTAATCAGACCTCTTTCTTGCCAGATATGGCAAGAGAGTGTAGGATGCTAAATGTAAATCTCAGTATAGATATTTATGATTTTTTTCTTTGGCTAATGTGAGAACCCATGTGAGTGCGACAAGTTCTGCCTTTTGTGAAGATGTCCCCAGATGCAGTGGACTTGCTTCTATTAAACCCCCTTGTTGGAGTGTTTGATGTGCTACCATCTATGAACCATGTGTCAGAAGCCATGGGAATGGGAATCCTGCCAAGTTGAGGGAAGGGAGTTGGGGTCATCTTTCAGCTCTTTTGGGGGCCTCATCAGAGGTGAGAGGTAGGGAGGCTGGGTTGATGGAACCCCTTGTAGAAATAGTAATGGAAAGGTCACCTGTGAACATCAGATGAACCTGATATATGTGAGAAGGAGTCATTAAGGCAGGAAGTGTTCTGTGTGTGATGAGCTCACTAACATGATGAGGGGACTGAATTGTTATTGATTATCCTGGAGTAAATGTTTTAGCCTCCTGTGTTAGTGTGGCTGTTGCCACAAGCGCTCAGAATCACAGAGCCCATAATGAACTGTATTGTCTAGCTATTTGGAAAGGTCTGCTACTGCCTCAAAGGATGGTCCCTTTTTGTGTCCTAAGACTCACACTATATTATGGCCATGAGAGGAAGTGGGTAGGGTAAAAGGCTAAGTTGGGTTAAGGAGAGTAAAAGCTGGAGCTTTTAAGAGGGCCTGTTGTAGCTTGTGAAAGGAGGAATGTATAGGAATAGTAGGGTCAAGGGGTTCTGACAAGGAGGCCTTGGACATCTTATAGAGAAGCTGAGCTATGGAAGCAAAGTTAGGAACCCAAAGGTGAAAGAAGTTGGCTAGACCAAGGAAAGATAGTACTTCTTGTTGTGTGGTAGGTAATTGAAGGGGCCTTGTGATTGGCAGTGATTGAGTGAATAGTGGGAGAGAAAGTAAGTCCTAAATATTTGACTCTTGGAGAAGCTATCTGAGCTTTGGCAGGAGAGACCCTATATCTGTGCCCTCAGAGAAAGTTGAAGGTAGCTGTATGCTATATGGCTAGGGTGTGAGAGGGAGAGCAGAGGAGAAGGTTATTTATGTAGTGAGGAAGTGTGCTAGGTTTGAGCTTAAGAGTCTCAAGTTCAGCAGCAAAGGCCCAAATAAATAAATGAGGATTATCCCTGAATCCTTGAAGAAGGACCATCCATGTGCGTTGTTGAGATCAGAGAGTGTCTGGGTTGGTCTACATGAAGGCAAAAAGATCCTGGAAATCAGAGTCTAGAATAGTGCAGAAGATATTTTTAT